AATACAAAATCTATAATATTTTCGCTGATATAAAAAAATTTTGGGTCTAAAGAATTACAAATGATAAAAAAGGTTAAATAATTCATAAGTATGCCTCAATTGATAATGGTTTTTAAAACCACATAAGGCAATATAATTCTTAGCAACTTACATTGACAAAAGGTCATGAAACTAATATTACTTCTCTGTTACAATTTTACACAAAGTTTTATAGAATGGAGCATTGAGGAAAAATTAAGGCCTAACCAAAATGACAATTCTTCAAGAAGAGAATATAAACGACCAATCCAAATCATAAAACTATATGGTGTTTAGAGCTTCCTCTTAGATGACATAAGTTGAAGCTAGATAACTAATCGAGAAAATTATTGTGAGATATTATATTTTTAAAAGATTATCTTCCATTTTTAATGATATGTAAACGACTACACAGTTGACCATTATTGCTCATCTAAATGCTCTCAGCAGCTATAGTAATAATCTTAAATTAAATAGCCAAACAAATAATAAATGCTGATTAATTTGCAGTCATAACCATGACACCGACGATGTTAACTCATATCAGAATTTATTATGTTAGATAAATTGATAAAACAAAAACACTAAAAATAATTAAAAGAAATTATATAAATATATTGAAGCCTTGAGTTATTTACATGACAAGGATCTATATTAGAAATGAAACATTTTGTAACGTCTATGACCAAAATACGAATTGCTAAAAACTACGAATTGCTATGAATAAACTACAAATTGCCGTATATAATGTTTAATTATGATTAAATGAGTAAAATAGGATGACTAAACTACGAATCGCCGTATTTAATGTTAAAATAAAGTGACTAAACTACGAATTGCCGTATTTAATGTTAAATTAAAATGACTGAACTACGAATTGTCGGATTTAATGTTAAAATAAAATTACTAACTACGAATTTCCGTAGTCAGCGTCTACATGACAGGATTTTCACTGGATGCACCTCCCCCCCTTCAAAAACCTTTGCCAACCCCCCTAAAAAATCCCCCCCCCTGTCTTTGGAGGAGGTGCCATATTATCGTTATTTTCACCTATTTATTTATTGATACTCTTTTCAAAGAATTTATAAAGGATAACTTAAATTAATCTATCTCTACTACCAACTATCGATATTTTGTGAATATAAAGAATTTATTTTTTAGATAATAAATTTAAATAAAACCTCCATTATTTACAATGAATTAATTATTATGGTATTATGAGCTTGCTGAAATATCTAAACCTTTTAAATTACATTTAAAGGATAGTTTATTTGGAAAACAATGTGTATGATTGTTTGCAATATATAGATTTGGTCGATGAATTGTATTATAATAATACTATAAGAAAAGTATTAATTTTTACAGCAATAAATTTTGTCCTATTTCATCTCAAAATTTAATAGATAACCCCACAAAAAATTTATCCTACCCCCATTAAACAGCTTACCCCACTCCCTCAAAAAATAGGATGCAAACTGTTCCTACCCCTTCCGCTCATGTAGACGCTGGCCGTAGTTAATGTTAAAATAAAATGACTAAACTACGAATTGCCGTATTTAATGTTAAATTAACGATGAAATAATAACCAGAGTGATATGATGAAAGCAAATATGATTTATATATTATTGTCGCATCACCCCTAGTAGGTATATTATATCTTTAAATAATAGTAGTTTTAATAATATCAAAAATATACTCGTAATAAAAATTTAATTCAAAACTGTTTTTCAAAGAAGAAAAATATAGCTTTCCTAAAAATAAGTTAAAAAAAAAGAAGAAAATATTTCTAATTTATTACATCCATTGTAAGATGAATAATAAGATGTAATATTTTTAATAATATTTATATAAATGATTACGTTAAAAAATTGAATGCAAATTGTTACTTATATTAATTATCAAAACATTTATTAATAAAATTTATTAAAATATTAAGTGTAATATATTTATAACTGTCAAATACGTATGAAGTGGCATTTTACCGAATATTTTAAAATCAATTATATATAGTGCTGTAAACATTTTTAAAAAAATCGAACGCGTTCGCGTTCAACGTTCATTGACAAAAATCGAACGCGTTCACGTTCACGTTCAAATTCAAAAAAAGGAACGCGTTCAAAATTTTATGATAAATTTTTTTTTAAATTTAATTTAATATAAATAAATGCCTTATATTTTTCAAAACAATATATTAGCCATGATAAAAAATAATAGTTATATTTTGATAATATAATTTTAAATAAAATATAATAGAGCGATAAAAAAATAAATTTATAAAAAATTTTTCTTATTAATTTTTAATAATTGCTTTTCAAAATTTTCATCTGTTAGGCATGAACGCTTGGCAGTTAATACAGCGTTAGCTATACTAAAAACTCGCTCAACAGGGGCAGATGAAGGGATTGCGGTGTTATACCTGATAAACAATTCTTTTAAAAGGGGGAATTTATTAAAAACATTTAATGTTTTATCCATTGTTTCAAAAAATTGAGCTATGTTATCATCCTCCAATCTGCCCTCTTCTTCCTCTTCAAAAAAAAAGATATCTCGGAATTGATTTTAAAAGAAATATTTTTGATATTTGGGCCATGGTAATCCTAATTCATCTAATATTGAATTTTGATTTTCAGAATCTGATGATGAAATATTTATATCCATGCAAATGCTAATCTATTAAATTAAAATATAAAATATTCAAATTAATAAACTTTAATCTTATCTTCTCTAGCAGTAGCACGTTATGGTAGGTTAATTGCAATATGAAAGAGGAAAAAGTAAAAATAGCTTATTAAAAAATATATAAGACTTTTTTGTTAAAAAATTGGATTAAATATTAATTTTTCAAATAAATAAAAATATAAAACTTTTTTGTTAAAAAATGCGGATTAATATTAATTTTTCAAATAAATAAAAATGAAAAGTGTTTTTTAAAATTGAACGAACGTAAAATTGAATGCGTTCATCAAAGAAAAGGAACGCGTTCACGTTCAAAGTTCGTCAAAAAAAAAGAAACGCCGTTCATCACCTTTTTTCAAAAAAACGAACTTCGTTTACGAACGCGTTCTTTTTGAACGCGTTCGTTTACAACACAAATTATATATAATATATAATTTTAAACTATATGTCTACTTACTTTTTATAAATAAATTTCTTATACTTATTTGGACCTTCAAAATAATTTTAGGAAGAGGCTTGGTAATTAAATTTAAAATGAATATTATAGTTGATTAGTGATTTTGAACTCGGATAATTACAATATTAAATTTATTAAAGGGTTATATTATAATTTAAATAATAAAAGTCAATTAAGCTTCAGCTGTTAATGCTAAATTAATATTTATATTTAGAGAGTTATATTATTGATATTCTATTTTTAACATAGAATTTGATTGCAAGCTGACATAGTGAAAATATAACTTATATGTATTAATCTAATCTTATAATTAAAATTGTATTAATTTAATAAAAATTTAGATACTCTTATTAATTTTTAAATAATAAAATTAAATCTATATATTACTTAATAAAATTATGAAAGATATCGTCTAGGGGACAACCAAAAAAATTTATTTTTAATTCAAGTTTAAAAAATGACTAAGTAAGCTGTAAGCTTAGTTAAATTGAGTTTTTTAAAAGGCAAAACCATCAAAGGTCTTCGCACAGCAGTGAGTATATTTACTCCAATATAATGAGATTTTTGATGAGTATTTCTACCATTTATACTAGAATTTTGAAAAAGGTATACAAACATTCTTCAGTTGAATTGCATTTAAGGCTAAATAAATGTTGGCACTTCTCATAAGTCGGATAACTTTATATCCCCCCCCCCTAAGAAATCTAAATTAGCAAAAGTAAGGAAATCCAATTATTCCTCCCCAATTATATTCGTAAATTATATTTTGGTGTGATTAGACCCAGAGTCTACATAAAAGGAGGGGGGGGGGAGGTAGGAACAGTTTGCATATAATTTATTGAAGGAGGGGGTAGGGAGTAACACATTATAAGGTGTAGGATATATTGGGGGGTTATTTATTAAATTTTTAGATGAAATAGGTTAAAATATATTGATATAAAAATTATTACTTTTATTATGGTCCTATTATAATACAATGATATTGATGGTCATCCAACAAATCTATATATTGCAAACAATCATAGATATTATTTTCTAAATAAAACTTTCTGCTATCCTTTTAAATGTAATTAAAATAGACATTCTCAGCATACTCATATTCATACCGATCAATATGCCATAATAATGTATTCATTGTAAATGAGGGGGTTTTTAATTAAATTCATAATCTAAAAAATAACCCTTAAATATTCACAATATTTTGATAGTTGGTAGTAGTGCTAAAATAATTTAAATTTTTTCAAAATTTATAAAAAAAGTACCAGTATAATTAAAAAGGTGTAATTGAGAATGGGAAATTTTTTTTTTTGGGGGGGGGGGGTAGGAATAGGTTTTTGAGGGGTGGTATGCGTCCAGTGAAATTCCTGACATGTAAACGCTGATTAGACCACGCAAATTAATAAATATATTAAAAATTTTCACAAATAATTGTAAACAGCTAACTATTTTAATGAGACATTTTTCCTAAAAGCACCAAGGAAAAAAAAACTCTATAATATTTCCGGTAACCTCAAGGAAAACATATATATAAGGATAATCATATCCCCAGAAATATGTATTTCCATATCCATTTATTTACATATTTTATAGACTTTTATTTCTTTAATTTTTCTCATACAATTTTTTCATTCTGATATTTTATTATGAATATTAATTTTCTAAATATATATGAATACCTGAAATAAAATAAAATATCGCAGTATAAATTAAGAGTGCAAATTATTTTTTAAGAAAATTGTACAATAATTTTTAACCCTAAATATGCTTACACTATTTTTTAATTGGAATTAAATTTCAATCATGTAATTATAAGCAATCAAATCACGATGAGTTTTTAAAAAAACTACAAGTCGAGCGCACTTTTGAGTCCTTCATTCATATCAAAAAGACATGCCGAAATCGAAAAGAGACAAACCAAGTTTTAATATGATTTATATATATTTTCTGTAATATTTTTTATTAAAGTTTCACTTACGAAAGTTACGAAAAAAGGATTAGAGTTTAAACAGAAGTTGATTCACGAAGTTAGTATAATTTAAATTTATCTAACAATTTAGGATTTGCTTAGATTCATGAATATGTTGACAAATTTCAATTTATATATTTATTACATTTCAAAAATTTGAGAAATGCTCAACTTAAAGCTTTGAGAGAAGAGTGGAAACCTAGCAAGTTAAGTTTTATTATTAGACATGCTTTTTATTTTAATATTTAAAAACAGATTTTTATTCAGTAAAAACTCATTGATATATTTTGCTCTGGGCAAAAGCCCAGAGTCAGAATATAAAGATGGTCTACATAGTGTGGGAAAGAATTTAAAAGGGCAATGTGGCATGTTATTTACAGACAAACCCCTAGAATATGTTGTTCAGTAAGTTTTTAAAAATTTGTTTTTATCATTTGCTAATTAATATATAATTTATAATAATTCATTGTATTTGAATAATTAGAGATGTACTACCACATTATCAAATGTTTTTATGTTACTCCCTGTTGTCCATAACACAAATTTTTAAAAAGAAGCTTATAAGGAGGAAATCTCAAGCTCAAAATATTTATTTTCTCTATTTTAATGATAAAATTTATATTTAAGCAGTAACCTTGATAAATTTAATAATGTTATATTTTATTCAATAAATCCCAAAATAGGATATAAAAATGAATAGTAAATAATTCTCATCTCCTATTTTTTTTTTAAAATTTATTTTATAATTGTGATATTCAATCTGTCAAAAGATAGGAAGAAAACATTAATATTTTTTGAGCAATAGGCTAGGTTTATATTTTCATAATGATCTCACCACCAGCCTAGTCTAATGGCAAGGTGGGTTGAGCTGGCATTTCAAGACTTTAATATATATTTATTTTTGAATATTCTTTTAAAAATTTATTTTAGATTTAAACAAAGTTTAATATAAGATTAGAGATATTAATAAAATAAAAATAGGATATAAGATAGATATATGTCTAAATCCATGATACTTATATGACGTGTCAAGATTTACTGACATAATGTAATTTGAGTATTTCTACATGCTTTTAGATATTTCATGTCATGTCATGAATAGCTGTGAAATCCAAATTAAATTATTTTTCAATAACTACATCAATACCCATATTGATAAATTGTGATGATAAAAAATTCTAGCCTCCAAAGACCTAGACCCATCCACTTATAATTTAGTTTACAAATAAATATATTAAAATTACCTTTTATTTGAAACCCATATTAGAGATCTGTATCCGGCCTAATTTTTCAAGCAAGGCCCGGCCCGAACCCCAAATTTTTTTAAAAATGTTTTGCCGGCCTGGCCTGAACCCGATTAGTTTAAATAGAATTAGGCCCGAGCCCAGACCAAAGCCTGTTCAGGCCGGATACGGGCTGGGCCTAACAGATCTCTAACCCATATCAATATTTTGAGTGGATAAAATTCTTCATCCCTCAAAACCTAAATCCGCCCACTTAAAATAATAATTATGATTACAATCAAAATATAATTTAATCAACTTTTATTTGACACCCATCATATCAATATTTTATGTTGTCAAAAATATTCCTGACCCCTCAAAACCTAAATGTTCACTTAGAATAATAATTATGATTACAGTCACTATATAATTAAAATACTTTTTATTTGATACCAATATTATTATTTTGTGTTAATAAAAATATTCTTGACCCCCCAAGCCTATTAGCTCATTGAGAGGATACACTTTTCCTCCTAATGAATAGATCTTTTGATTAGCTCTCGATAGATATATATATTTATATAACCTGCATAGGTACCATTTGCATAACCCGACCCAACCTGGCCCTGATTAAAAAGTTTTGGCCTGGCCCGGATATTTTTTTCAAAAATTTTTTACGGCCCAGCCCGGCTTGGGTTTAAAAATTTTAGGCCTTAAAATTATATTCGACTTGGTATATACAAAAAATTCATCTATTTCGTATTTTATCATAGTTTTCAGCAAGTATTATCATTTAATAAGCAAGTATATTCGCTAATGTTGTTAAACGGCTCGTTTTGAACCGATTTTTAAAAACGGCTAACTCAATATTTTCGCCAGAAAAATATTGAATAAGCCTCGAAATTTCTATACTATATGTCTAGACTATTGCTCCTTCTATAAGAAAAATTTTCAGGCTTGCATAATATTTTTCTGGATAAAAAACTGAGTTAGCCCTTTTTAAAAATCATTTCAAAATGAGCCATTTAACAACACTACATATTACATGCTTATTTTTTTTTATTCTAAACAGATTAGTATATTATAAATTGATACCATAAAAAATTTATGTAAATAATATTTTGAGAATATACTATATTCATTGTGTTTATAAAAAAAATAAAACTGATATTTTAATTAATAAAAAATATAACATATATTATATAATAAAGTATTTAATCCTTTGTGTATTTATTCCATGGCAGGATAACTATAATTATATTATGTAATAGATACTATGAGTGTTAGCTAGTGTTAACTTTCACCAAACATTATTATATTAATCATAACTATATATAATCATTATAACCATATCTAATTGACGAATATAATAATTCATGTTGTATAAACTTTTTAAAAAAATACGGCCCAGGTATTTTTTAAAAAAAATTTTTAGGCCCGGCCATATTTTAAAATTCCTGACTTAGGGCCGGGCCTGCAGGTCTTAGATATATATATTGAACATATATACTTTCCTAAGTTCAACAAAAAACAACTATAAATTGACTTTTTGCTCTGGGCCTGAACCCTGGGTCTCTGCTCGGGGTTCATGCTCTGGATTAGTTAATTTTTTAGACCAAAACCCCTCTGGGTTTTACACAACCAACCAATTAACAACACTATGCTGCTATAATAAAATATGTTGAAAATAAAATCCTTATCATTAGTAGTTATTTTTTCATAGGACATATTTCTATTTAAAAATACTGGGCTGGGCTACCTTATTAAAAGTCAAGCTGGGTACAATTTACTGGGCAGAAATAGCAGGGTTAGGCTGGTAAATTTTGCCATTTGCAGATCTCTAATTCATACCAATAATTATATTTATTATTTGTATTTGATTTATATTATTCAAATGAAATGCTTCATTTTTTTAAATATTACAAAATAATTTATGCAAAAATATATTGACAGTTGTTTGAATTTATCACACTTCTAATTTTTAAAAGAAAATATTCTAATAATCAAATTGATTTGTAATGCCAAGCCATTTTTCAAATCAAAAAGTTTCTTTTATTGTTAATTCTTTAAAAGGAATGACATTTTTTGACAGCAAATTAGTTAAGTCTAACTGAGAAAGCCTTTCACATGCAATTGATATATCTTGCTGATCACATCACCATGATAATTTTATTGAAATGCATATTAGCCTTTCAAAGATAACCTAAAAATTATCCAGGAAAGTTTATGGTGCCAAAAGTCCCCCCCCCCTTCTATTTACGATAATCCTGGAGTAGCATGTAAATTTTTCATATCCAAAATATACCATTTTTTTCTGAGATACAAATCGTCGGCCTCAGCTGAGTATTATTTATATCCATTTTTTTTTATTTTGTTCAGAAGAGCTAAAAATTAAGTATTTCTTATATTTTAAATATAATAATGCACATAAAAGATTATTCTCAATATATTTACATTTTTTTTATTGTGGATATATATGAATAGTTCTGAAGAATTCATTTTTTAAAAAAAAGCCATTTTACAAAAAAATGGATTACTCAGCCAATGAAATATAACTCAATATATTTATAAATCAGGTGTGAAGGAAGGTTACAATAATAAAAATATTAGATTTTTGGGTTTACCTTTTAAATTGTAATAATCAATATTTTAGATACTTCAAAGGTTTCGGTCACACGAATTTTGCTCGATACAAAGTTGATAGCCCTAAAACTATAACATTACCTAAGGGCCCTTTAAAAGGCTTAACTCACGCTTCCGAAAAATTCCTTAAAAAATATGGTATGCCTGTCATTTTGGAAAAAGGTATTTTAATTTACTCCTTGTTTTAAAAAAATAAATCTATTTAAGAGGTCGTCCGGGTTTGCTTCTTTGCGTTTTAAACTAATCCTATATTTTTTTGTTCGGACATTTTGAAAAGATTTTTGCTTACTCTTATTTGTGTTTACGTCATAAGTTGATAATTATATCTGCTAATCGATGGAATTTTTACTCCTGGAATAATATTATTAGACTAAAAAACAGAAAATCTTATTAATTTTAATTAGAAGAAATGCGTCAATAATGGCCATGTTTTTGCTTTTTTGAAAAAAAGGTATTAAAATTTATGTTTAACCAAACAAATTTTATATCAATATGTAACCTAAATATTAATCTAAAATAAAATTTGAATCAAAGCTTTATCTATAATACTTTATGAACTAGATGAAATTATGTGAAAGTTGTATGTGTTAACTGACCATAATATATTATTTAAGAATTTTATTATAAATATGAAATAATACAATATGAAATACTTGTTAAAGACCTATGTTAATATTTCCACATTTTTTAGTTATATAAAAAATTAATTATACACTAATTTAATTAGCATTAAAATCTCAATTTATCACCATCTATTTAATGATATTATAAATTAATATCTTAATTATCTTTTTGCTAAACATTCTTAAGATTGTTCATCATTTAAAAGTTCATCATATGTTGTTTTGCACAAACTTTTCATTTCAATATGAATATGTGAATGCACAAATTGTGGCCAATCAATATATGGTGAGACAATACTCACCTCTCTATTATTATTAAGCGCCTTTATATGTCTATTAAATAAAGCTTTTAAAGTCTAATTTTTTGTGTGAATAAATCTAAATGCCTAAGGATAATATTTAATATAAAATATCAGTAATCTAAATTAGTAATTTTTTCACTAAACAAAAAAATATATAACGTGATTTCCAGAAAGAGGTACTAAGTTTATTTTAAATATTTTTTTATTGAATTGCTCTATTCAATAAATGAACTTAGGTAGGTACATATCATAGATATACACATTTTGAGAGAAATTGGTCCAATAGATAAAAAGTTAAAGGGTGGTGGCCAGTCTTCACCCATGGCCATTTATGGCACATTTCCCCTACATACATAGGCCAAAAATTAATAATCGCCTAAAATTGGATCATATGTTCAATTTAAAATAGTTGCATGAAGAACCCAACAGTTTTAGTGTGCCCATTTATACAATTTTTTGACCCTTTTAAATGTAACATGAAACTTATGCTTTGACGAGCTCTAACCTTTTACGCCAGGCAGTTTATATTAATGATTTATATTTTTTTTATAGCATTTCAAACTTATAAAAATATTATTCCTAAATTGGAAGTGTATCATTTTAAAATTGCCGATAATTTTAACAAGATAAAATTCTATTATAAATCTTCTTTCTAGTAATTATAATAAGGTTCTAACTTTCCTTTGATAAACTTTACAATCGAGTGAATCAGAACTTTACCGTAATCTAAGTGTTTAGAGGAGTGAAACTACACCTTTTTTAAAAAAAAATGAGATAATTGAGTTTTTAAAGTTTTTCCAATTTATACACGGTATAGATATAAAGTACAAATATTGACAGGATAAATTAATTAAGTATTTCGCTCTATTTTTTATTAATATACAGTGTCCGATCCGTACTCTGGTAGTGGATTTTTTAAAAAATGTAAGTTTTATAAGAGATGTTATTGGAACCTTTTTGGTTCAAATCGTTAAATAGAATTGTTTGCATAATTTTTTAAAACATGCCATTTATTTATTTGTTAGATACCATAGCTCTGACAGAAGATTTTACTCTTTGTATGGAAGGCGAAAAACTAACCATTGACCAATCAAAAATACTAGTAAATACACGAATAATATGATCTATTTAGGCATTTAATTATACCATTTTATAGACTTAAAAATTAGAACATTCTAAATCCTAATCACTTTAAAATATAGTTGAAATAAAAATTTATCTCCATGATCGAGAAATTCACAATATTCCTTTTATATTAGTTTTAGTCTTTCTTAAAGTTCATATAGTACTAACTTATTTATGTTATATCAAGCATTTTTATATTAAATTTTTTTAAAAATGTTAATATTTATTATTATAGAAAATGCTAAATATGCCTATGGCCAGCTTTAAAATCGTACCATATGGTGTTTGGTCTGCAGACACTGGGGAATATCAAAATATTTAATTCCATTTGATACCAATATTATATGTGATTTAATCATTGAAATGTTTTGCTCTTGTGTGATTTATAAATTTAAAAAAATATTTATCACTTTAAAATTAAAAAAAGTTATGATTTGCAGTTTTAATATTATCAGATCAGCCAATATAAAAAAATTACATGAAGGATTAATCATTCCAAAACTATACACTAGAAATTAGAAAATAGTTAAAACAATATTTTAGCCAAATTACGCAAATCCCAATTCTATATCTCGAGGCTTGCGTAATATTATTTTAAATCTTAATTAATTGGCCAAATCGAGCCATTTAACAACAGTATTAACAATTTTCTAGACATGTATTCCCTTATAAAATCACGATACAATTTTTTTAAACACATATTTCTCGGGGAAAAAGGTAAAATTTGCGACTTCAAATTTAATCTTTTATTTATCACAATATAAATTGGGTTTGTTTTTTTTTGCATTTAAAAAAATATTATATAATGTAAAACAAATGTCGAAATAAAGCTTAAATAATACGAATTAGGTCGAAATTTTTTTTTTTAAAAAAAATTTGGGTAATTACTAAACAATATTTAAAATATACAAATTTTATTTTTTTTAAAGCAAGAAATTAATTATTTTTACATTAATATATAAAATATATATATCACAATACTTTGTAAAAAAAGGAATCATCTGTTTTTTTTTGCAAACGGAATCTACAAGAATTTTATATGTAAAGAGTAACCCTGCTTTCACAGTTAACACTAATTTGGGGTGAAATATACAAAAATGAATGAAGATTATATTTAAATCATATTTTTTATACTTCCCCGAGAATTTGCGATAGCTGTAAAGGTGGAGTAAGGATGACAGTGATGAGCCAAAGCATAAAAATAATATATATTTTTTAAAAAAATTGACTAGTTAATATTTTTTTTGATAAATAATATTTTTAGAAAATTTTTTTTTGGAGGTTCAAGCTTTAACTCATCAAAAAATATTAAAGTTAATAAAGGTTACAACAAAAAAGCCCAACATGGAAAAGCGTAAGACAAACTCAGACTTCTTTCACGAATGTTAGGCCGGAAGTGGCTGATAAAAATAAGTTATGGTCGCACCTTCAAAACACTTTTGGTGTAGGGCTCTGATAAAAAAAAAGGAACATTTAAATGGGCTTTTATATATTGGTAATTAAATTGACATATGTCTTCATACAATCACTCAAAATGATAATATAAACATTAAAAAAAAATTTGCGGGGAATTTTTTTTACAGAATGGGGTAATGATTAGATGGAAATACAATGTATTAAATTGACAATAAATGGCTTTTATAAAAAATAAATGGCAATTTGAAATTAGATTTTGAACGTGGAAATATAAAATAAATTTTTTTTGGCGATTCAAATAAAGAAAAAAGGCTTATTTTACAAATAACAAATAAGGGCAGTTTTTCGTAAATTTAATATATATATATAAAATACTTATACGTGACATAATATGAATAATAATATTAGAGATTGTTTAAAGAGATTTATATTAATTCATAATATAAAATGGCAATATTAGAAGCACAAGCATCCGAGAAAGCTGTCATTTTCCTGTAGTTGGATAGCTTAAAAGAAAATTAAAAATGATAAATTAATTTATAAATGAAATATATATAATTAATTTGCAGGCTAGACCAGGGGCGTAACGAAAGGTTCTCAGACAGTTCACCAGAAGTCTGAGAGTATGTTACTAGTGTTTACATGAAGAAGGTAGATAACCTATCCTTCAAGTGGTAAGCAGGAATCCCGGGGAAAATCCCGCTTTTTTATATCAAATTTCAAGATCAAATAAAAAAGGCATATTATTTGGAATATAATTTTAATGGATGGAGATGCATTAATCTTTATAAGATGTATAAGGAAAAAATATATATTTTATTAATAAGTTCAAGTATCTGGAAAAGTCGTATTTGAAAGTTACTCATCCTCGATAAAAAAATGCTTAAACAAGATAAGATGGCGCTGTTCAAAGTATTCATCTTTTAAATATTGAGCAATATTATCAATACTCCAAAATCAAGATCATAAGAAACTAGAAAAAGCTCATAATGTTGATGGCAGCAATGAGATACGTTTATAACACGAAGAAACGATATGCAGACTATTTTTCTAAGCCTCTTCAAATTTGTATAAAGGAAAACCTTGAGATTTTGTTAATAGATTCCCATCCTTTCTGCCATCTATGAGCAAAATCTCTAGTCTTGCTTAAAATATTGGGTTAGTCTTTAAAAATCGATCCGTGTAACAATGCTAAGCATGGTTTTCTTCAATTATAGGTCATTCGAATATCAATAAACGCTATTTTTATCGCAGTTGCTTATTATTGTAGACTCCAAAAAAAAAATAAGTATGAAAAAATATTCGAAATAATTATCACTAATGTCAGGAAAGAGAATTCCTTGATCAAATATATGTATATATATCTAAGTCTGCTATGACTTGTTAAGACCAGTATTAATATATTTTTTAATTAGGGGGGATCATACCATAATCAGACAGAAAAATTCAAAAGCTATGCCTGGAAAGTAATAGAGATTTGATGAAACTATGCTTATTTTGCGGATGTGATACATAATAACGGTTACTCCTAACAATGAAAAAGATATTCTTGATTATTTAGATGCCCTAGTGCCATGATCTTTTGCTGTCCAATGAGGAGCTGAGGGTGACCATAGAATACAGACAAGGCTGTGACCTATGTCTATCTGATAAATGTTAAGGATACAGGAGACTCCACCTAAGGGCCGACATGGTCTAACCTGTTTATATTTTAAAGGATGGTTCAGTCACTATAGAGCTATTAACTATAATCTCGAACAAATTATTTTGGCCCTATCTAAACTCAGGCTCACAAGCATTCCTTGGCCTAGAGGGAAACACCTTTTTGGGATTTCACCTGTGTCTCGCAATTTTACTCTAATCCAATCGATCCGATCATTATGGCCAAAAGGTCAATAATTAGAAAGTACCATGATTTTTCAGATTTTCACTTTATCCCAATATTTATTTATACCAATGGAACCCTAGCCCGTCTACCATTTTTTTAAGATTTTAGGTAAATTTTTTTTATCAAATTAATGGTGAACATAGATCCTCTTTTAAAATGTTACAATCAACTCAAATCCACGGATCTCGCTGGGAGCCTTTTTTGGTCCCACCCCTCTTATAAGCTTTTTAAAAATAGTTGTCTTGTTTTAAATTGTTAACATGATATTTCAATATTGTTATATATATATTATGATATTTTTTAATATATATTTTTAAAATTGATGGAAGGGGGGAAGGCGTTTTGTTACACCTCTAATCTAAACCGAAAACAAAGAATTTGTAATACAATAATCAAGTAACAATCTTGTTTACAACCTAATATCGTCCAATAAATTTTTATAAGAAAACGATATTTAATCGTTTTCTCGTTAAATTTACAGCTTGTATTATGAATACAAAATATCGGGATATAATAAATGACATTTTTTGAATAATAAATAAACAACCGAGATGGCCTTCCTCTACCTAATCAGAAATCAAGTTAATTAAAATAATTTCGATTCTTTAGAGAATGAGGGAAAGGTGAGGGGGTTAACTTTATACATTTGTTTGTTGCTGATTGGAAGCACAGGATTTAATAGTCGCCAAATTTTCAAAAGCTCTTTGGGGTCGCTGTAACCGTGGCTAGCGATTTTGTCCTTCAAATCGATTTCGGGATTATATGTTGGGAAGAGAACGAAATCAGGGTTGTGAACAGGGCATTTCTTGTAAAGGAATAAAAAAGGAAGAGTATATATATTAATATGGCAAGGTTTGGGTTCTAAAAATTTGAAACTGTTTTATTGTTGGAAATTGTACGAACAGGAGAGAAATTATTTTAAACAACTACTTCCACCGAGGGTATTTTAGGACTGGGGCGGGTTCGAATCTATTTTGGAATTAAAATGAACATTAATTTTTTAATTTCGAACCTTAAACAATAACCTTTTTAAAAAAATCTTAAGCACAACGAAACCCATTGGCTAACAATTTGATCGGTAGAAAAGTCTAAATAAATTCATCGAATTCGCAAAAACTTAGACATTACCATTTTATCTATTTGAAGCATTTTTTACTTATTTTACAAATAGAGAATAAACTTATGGATGGGGATGGTTTCTTAAATATATCTGGAATTAGATATAAAAAAAATCTATAATTTTACTTTTAATTTGAGCGCCAAAATTGCTAAATATATATCGTCGAAAACGAACGTCTTGGTTATCGAAGCCATTTCGTAAAAATAGCGCGCGACATCATGGGACAACTAGACAAAATGAATAAATTATTTTTGATAATTAAGTTAAATAAATAACATGATATAACAAACGATTGAATAATATCCCAAAAAATAATTCATAATGTATTAAAAAGTATGCGGTTTAAAAAATAAATAAATGGTTATTGCATGCTATAATTCAGAATGTGAGGATAATGGCGCATATCTTTGCTATTGAATAAATATTGGGATAAAAGTTAGGAAATATAAAAGTTGGGGAGGTAAACTTTATAGAAGCCATCTAACTAAAAAAGGAAACTCATGGAGGGAAAAACAGCTAGCTATTCATTCAACTGAATGATATCCATCAGTTTGACTGGTGAATATTTTTAAAAAAAGAAGGTTAACATTCAATTATAGCATGTAATAACGGATTAATCAAGTAAGATGAAGAACTGCGAGAAAAGCGAATATAGCCAATCTTTGCGACACTTAGGGATTTTTTTTATGAAATATAATAACCAATATAGCACCGCCCGTAACGTAAGGAGGATAAATGTCGTAAGGATACGTTTCAAGCCCCACGAACCACTTGCTAGATCTGAGCCTGTGAGGTGTGTTACTGTTGAATACGTGACCGCAATACACGTTACGGAAGGAACCACTTACGGATTGAGATCGAGCTTGTTGATTCTGACCAACGTCGCTTGAGGCGGAGGATGGCTTGAAAAATCTCGAATCCTTAGTCAGGTTGTGGCGAATGTAATTGTAAAGGTGTGAAGGAGATAGGTAATAATCGTCGTCGATGAGGACGACGAACTTGTGCGCGTTAGAGTCGATGAAAGGCGGGGTTTGTTTGGATCTTTTTTTATGGGTAAAAATTATTAGGTGTGGATTAAAATGGGGAAAATATTAGATAAATTGTTAACTAAAAAATAGTTCTAAGAAGAACCTGATTTAAAAAAAAGTAGAAAACGATAAATATCTGGGGTTCGAATTCAGGGAAGGTTATTAATAGGTTCTGGGCCGGAGTCATACATTTCATTAAATTGGAAGGGGAAGCACCGGGAGATATTTTTTGAGGATTTGCATATTTAGTCCATTGTGCCAAAATTACTTTTGAAAAGAAGTAATACTAGTTTAATAACAATTTTTAAATATGAAAACTAAGATGGCCGCACGGGTTTTATGAATTTATTTTAAATATTAGATAATATTTAAGGACTAAATAGGGAGCAATTACTACAATCCTTATGTCTTAAAAAATTTTGTTAAAATAATATTTAAGCTTTTTTTCCGTTTTTTAGGCTTTGAAACATGTTTTTTATCATTCGCCCTGGATACACAATACTTTTGTATAATTCAACGGCTAACTCATTATTTCATCCAGAAAAAATATTATGCAAACCTAAAGATTTTGCTCATAGAAGGAACAAAAGTCTGGATATATATTATCGAAATATCTAGGCTTAGGCAATATTTTTTCTGGCTAAAATATTGAGTTAGCCGTTTTTAAAAATCGGCTCAAAACGAGCCGTTTAACAACACTAACCTCAACTTTTAATCTGTTTTAATTAATTTATAAAAATTTCAATTTATATCAGTAAATATTCAAATAAAGTAACCCATGACCGGAAAAAAATTTTTTTTTTAAAGATCGTAATAAAAAAAATGTCATCCAAAAAAATAATAATATTTAACAAAAACTTTTAGTTTCTGAGCAAAGTTTATAATTGATTAATAAATATATATTTAAATGAATCCTCATTAAATTTGCAATTTAATGATATATAAGAAACCTGCAATTAAACGATATATAAGAAACCTGCAATTTTCCTAAATATACCCGGGCTGGGCCTAAATTTTTTTTAAAAATACCCGGGTTGCGATGTATATTTTAAAAACAAATAATGTAAATAGCCATTATTAGCTTTAAAAATTAAAAAATATTTTAAAAAAATCCGAGCCAGGCCGGGCTGCGCAAATCGTACCTCTGCAGGTCTCTGATATATATATATATCGATATTTAATATTTACTTTAAAAAAATATATAAAGTTTAATAATGAGGATTGTAAATATATAAATATTTATACATTTTTAAAGATGCTTAATTATCTAATTGCAATCTTTGCTCAGAAACTGGGAGCTTTTATCAACAATATAATTTTTTTTCATTTTGGCCAAAAATTTTCTATATTTTTTTTTGCATTTTCAAGATTTTAGACAAAACATATAATATACATTCTAGATTTAAGGGCAACACGATAAAAACATCCATTTAATATAAAGTCTTCTAGAATTTTTCATTAGCCATTTTACATCCCCCTCTTGTCAATATGAAAATTGTATGAGATTAGTTAGCATTTAAAGCAACTCACAAAAATAGTATTTAAATTATTCCCAATAAAAATCGTGAATAATTTGCATCATTTTACAATTAATTGAAATAGAACAAAACGCTTAAATTTTAAGCAATTAAATAATTAAAGATGGCAACTAAAATAATAAAGAATAATGTCAAACAAAATCACTACTCAAACTGATTCAATTAATTAAAATTATGAAACATCTGGAAAAATAATAATTATGAGTGAAATTACCAGAGTAATAATTTTATATTTTTCTAATAAGCTAAGAGAAAGTATAAATCATATGCCCACAAAATGAATTATAATTATTGGTGTCGACACAAATTTAAATTCTAAAGATTCAAACAAATTTTGCATACTTAGAATTCAATGAAATTATATGGAATCATGTTCATAATTCCAGTACATATTGATTAGGGTTGGCAAAATACGAGATTTCGCTAATAGATGTCCAAACATTTCTACCATCTATGAGTAAAATCTCCAGGTTTGCGTAATATTTGTTGGCTAAAATATTGGGTTACATGTTTGAAAGTTTCTGATTCAAATAAAACCGGTTAAAACCACGTCATTTAAAAAAATATATTGATTATGTTGCAGCAATTGTCTAGTGCAACCCCAATATAAAAAAATTTTTAGAACCTTATTTCTATTAAAGGTTTTTAAATTATATTACGATAGATATTATTTTAACCAATAAAAAGGGAGAAACTTTTTTTTCGAAGAAAATCTAGTGTTAACTCCAAAATATGTTAAAAGTTTTTTTTAACAGCCAATGTTATCGAAGGTGCCAAATTTATATTTAATGCCGATCTCTTATGTATCTTGGTAAAATTCCAAGCTAAAGATCTGACTCACTTAATTAATAAAATTGGCACAAAGTAAAAAAGAAAGGAACGCTTTTGCGAAAGCCTCATTTGGAGTGCATTTCAAATTTAATTCAAATTTTGGAATGTATTGACAACATGATTAGTTATTTTTTATCGTAAAGAAAAAAACATAAATTTTTTTTTTTAAATTTAGAAATATTAAATAATTTTTCATTATATCGAGATAAGGATTTAACAATTATTTTAATACATTTTGTCAAAAATTGAAATAAAGGAAATCAAAATGAATCAAATAAATTATAATTTTTTTTTATCTAAGTGCACTTGAATATTTTTGATTTTAAATCAATTCAAATTTGGACTAATATAAGAATAGGGTGATTTATATCGCGATTTTAATTAAATTGATTTTTCTTATTAGCCAATTCCTTAATTCCGTCCTTAAAATGCGGGATAGCAGGATTGTAATTTAGAAAATGTTTTGATCGAAATAAAAAATATTTGTAGAATTTATTTTGCATAAAAAGGGGGCATTTCCAAAATTTATCTATATCGAAAATAATAAATTACCATAGAATAAACAATATTTTGATATCAATCAAACCTTCTTTTATAAGTATTTCTACAATCGGCAAGTCCGCGTTTATGGTGGTACCGCAATTTTTCCCTAACACCGGGCCAAAATTTAACGCCCTCGTATATCCGCGAAGAAAAATACCATTTAAGTCCCAGAAGTACTTTGAGCGTGTTATTGTAATAATGGTCCAAAAAATACCCGAATATCAGATCGTCCGTTCGATCATCCTGGATCAACGATTGAGTTGTCGCGGTAATCGGAGCCGTTTTGTCGGAGGACGAATAATCCATGTGCTTGAACGACATAATTGACGGAAGAGACGAAGGATAAGAGCCGAACACCTTGGAACGATTAGTCGTCACGTTGAGATTCCCGGCCGAGCTAATACTGACATTGTCACCGTATGAGTTTAGTTCTCGTTCATAGAGCCCGAGTATAAAAACGGAACGAATAACGAGTTTATCTCCACCCGGAAATGTTAAAACACTCCGGTTTCCCCAGGTGGATCTAATAACGTTGCGACGATCTACGTTGTCTCGACTACTCTTGACGAGAAGCGTTAGTTCAAAAATCGCGGGATTTTTGGTACCCTCGTTACTATTATCATTATTATTATAATCGCGATGGTGACTCTCTAATAATACTCCGGTATTTCGAGAAATGAATACGTTTTTAATTTCGAGGTTTCGATTGGTGGAGTTCGAGTAAAGGGAAGTAGTATTCAACGAATTAATAATCACGGGTTTGGCTAGAATGAAGGGAGAGGTGCTTGAATCATCGAGGGGTGGGTACTTATAGCTATCGCTAGTGGGCGCGGAATAAAATTTGGGAAAGGAATAACGCGTCAAATAGTCAGTGTCGTTCCCCCCTTCCTTAAAAATGAGATAGATGCCCGGGTCGCCCGATGATTCTTCCCCACAATTTGAGTCCAGGTCAGCTAACTCGACCGAAAAATCGGGCTGCCACCATACAAACTCTTTGGCGAAACTTTTCTGATTATAATAATCGAAGAATCCAAAATAATAATTGAACAGGAGGAGGGTGCCTAGGGAATAGATGAGTAGTTTGAATTTGTTGAGAGAATGAAGGAGTACCAGGGTGAAAGTAAGACAGGAAGACATTCCCTCGATGATGGACACCTCGTTATAACTTTCCGTCTTTTGATTTCACTTTGTGCCTTGTCATCGTTTTCGTATATAAATAAGGAGATTATTATTAGTTTTTTTTTTAAATAAAGGCTTTATTGTTGAACCCGATAAATCAGTTATTGCACCTTCTTATTATTTTTTTAAATTATAATTTTACGGTCGAAAATGGCTAGTTATCACAAATAAATAAATTAAAGGAATATCGGTCGAATTTTGAGCGCCTAGATTGACAAATGATCACAAATTCTTGTTCTTGGTTGATATATACTTTTTATTTTATTTTTTTTAAAATGGCAAAAATAAGATTTTTTTGAAAAGAAGGAAAAATAATGAATTAAGGGCTTTTTAAAAAAAGAAAAATTATTTATTCTTGGATTGAAAAAAATAAAATAATATGATTCAGCCAATAATTTAAATATGCAAACGATGAAGTGTAAATAATGATTTTAAAAAAAAATAATTATGAGCGAAAAATTCAAATTTTTTAAAAAATTTCTTTTATTCTTTACTAATCTAGGAAATTGAAAATATAATTAATGTGACTTTATCTTTCAGTAATGTTATAATTATATATAAAAAGAAAATTATGGCAAACATGTGTTTATCGTTAATAATATAACAATTATTTACAATGATAGAAGTTCATGTACTTCAAATATACACCGTAATTAGTGTTGTTAAATGGCTCAACTCAATATTTTATCCAGAAAAACATTACGCAAGCCTAAAAATTTTGCTCATAGGTGGCACAAAAGTTTGGACATCTATAAGTGAAATCTAGAGGCTTAGGCAATATTTTTCTGGCTAAAATACTGAGATAGCCGTTTTTAAAAATCGGCTCAAATCGAGCCGTTTAACAACACATGTAAAGATAATTCGGCTCGTTTTTTTACGAATATGAATAATGATGCACTAGCATTAGATAAATACTAGTAGTAATTAATTATCCAGTTTCAATGATTCGTTACTGAATCAATATAATTTTTTCTCATGAAATTTTAGAAAATAAAATGGCTTCGGTGGTAAACAAATTCCGTAAAATTCTCCAATTATAAAATCGAAATTCATATATCTATCCATCAAGTTGTTATTGTAAACACGTTATATTATTTATGAGATTATGTAACACACGTAATATAAAATGTACTTAAGAAATATAACAATAGAAGTCTGTAATGAGCGGTTTAAAAGTATAAAACATTGGGTGGGTCTCAAAAACATTTTTATAACAAGTTATTATTTAATTTAAAAAAGATTGTTTTTGTCATAATATCGCATATTTTATATTTCTAAGGTAGAAAAAAGAGCCAAGTCAATCAAATAATTTTTAAACATTGGTCGGGCTGACGGGTTAAGTAAAATTTTAAGATAAATGGGTAAGAGGTAATTTTTATGGGTGGGTGCGCGTTCGGGTTAAACCCCCGCCCATTGCAAACTTCTGGATTCTGACTAAATAGAATAAGCTATAGAATAGATCATTCAAAGGTCTGCAGCGTCCCGGCAAAATCGAAAGAAAATTTATTTGGGCCGGGCCAAAAAATGACAATGCTGAATTATTGAAGAATTCTGAATTTGATATAAGTGATCATTTATAAAATTCAGTGTTTTTAATTTAACCACTCCCCAATATTCTAGATAGTTATTTATTTTGGTGTTCAACTGCATATTCGGGTTAGACCTTAATAAAAATTTGGAAAAGAGTCGGGCAAGGTTCAAATTTGGGTTGGTAGGGCAAAAGCTAAAATCTAACTGAACCGGGCCTAAAAATTTTGTAATTTGCAGCCCTCTAATTCAAATACCATTTAATAGGACATGAGAAAATATAACATATAGATCCGATCCGTGGCCTCCTCTGCAAAAATTGCTCGGTTGATTGATTTAGATATTTTTGATCATAAAAAAATCGTCACTTAGTTCCAACCTATTTTGAACCATCCCATTGTTCCTTTAACATATGTTCCTAACAATCTTAGGTGAGTTTTAGTTCCTAGATTTGTAACGGTTCCCGAGGGTTTCCGGACCGGTTCAAAATCCTGATCATAGTGCGCATAAATTAAGCGTTTCTAACGTAAACAAAGCATTTTAAATGGTATCGCGCAAATTTGGTTACCGCTTGGTATTAGAAGCCATTTTATTTAAGCAAATTGGTTAGTCTTTTTCATTATTTTTTTATATTCATCCATTTTGCACATTGATCTACCATTTTTTAAGAACTCTGTTTTTTTTCCTCAAGAGAGCCGACAAAACCTAGTTACCCATATAAGGATAAAATACGCGGATGAACACTAAAAATCCTTTCTTAGTTGTTTAATTGTTATGTAAATTAAATTAAATATGATATAAAATGTAAAAAAAAACTTATCTTTTAATGGAATATTTAGAAATTAATGAAATGAAATGGCAGACGATATTAAAATTTAAATAATCTATTCTTTTTTTTATAACTTAGGCCGCGTTTATAGTAAACGGTATTTCGTATCGCATATTTTTTTATTATCGCATCGCAACATATGTTTTTCAAATTTATCATAGCGTTATCGTCATAATTGTCCATATTTATAAATTATACCTATTTATTGGCTTGATTTTAAATAACGCACCATTTGAACATGACGCGTTTACTGTAAATTAGCCCTTAGTTAAAATTTTAAATCGACGCTATCAGAGTTGTTAAAAGATACTTTTTAAATGGATCTAGATACAGATACAGAGTCTAAAAAGTTATCTAGATCCAGATACAGATATATCGTCCAAAATGTTATCTTGATACAGATACAAGTTTTAAAATGTATCTAAATACAGATACAATTCATTAATACTCTTATATAAGCTTTGCATAAACCTAAATTAGGATTCTATTGTGAAAATGTATGAAATGACTAAAAACTTTATTGACTAGATATCACATTTATCAATAATGATTTTTAGATTTTAATATAATAATATAATATATGATTAAATGATTATAAATAATTATTAAATTTCAGTAGTAAAATATTTTCAAATTTTGGTCATTAAGGCATCCTCATTAATCCATAAAGACATTTTTCGCTACACTAAAATGCCTTTCAGGGCACTTGAAGGGATTGTGGTGTTATATTTTATGAATAACAATTTTTTATCAGAATATTCTTTAAAAATACTAAAATCTGGGCATTCATTTTCGAAAAAATTATTTAAAATTTGTTGAGTATCAAAATTTAAATCATTAACAATCATATCTGCTGCTGTGGGGTACTGAAAAAATAGTGTTTTTTTTTCGCAGGTTATTTGTTTGCAATCAGTTGAAGACCTTGATAATTCATCAACTAATCTTTGTATTAATTGTTTTTTTCATTAACAGTGTTTGATTTTTTCTCTTAAAAAATTACAATTTTAAACATTTATTTAGTATCTTAACCCATAAATGTTTTACAATGTTGCAAGTTGAGGTAATGCTAACTGAAATTTTTATATTTTTTTTGTAGATATTGCAAACATTCTACTATCAAAGATTTGTTTTTTATTTTGAGATATTATTTTAAAATGGAAAAACAATGTCTGAACTTATCGATGCTCCATTAATGATTACTTATTCCTCTTCGTTACTATTAATATTAATCTAAAATAAATTTTTAAAATTAGTATAATAAAATAAAATTAACTAATTCCATTGAAAATTAAATCAAAATTTGTCGGATTTATTGATAAACTCTGACATAATATCTAATGAATATTTATATATCTATTTTTTTATATATTTTAATATTTTAAATATAATTTTTTATTATAGTGGTCTTAATATTTTTTAATATATATATTTAAATTATATGCTCATATGAAATAAAATAATTTTGCATTCAAATATTTTTGTTTATAATATAAAAAGCGTTAAATAAAAGTATATCAAAATGTATCTTAAAAGTATCTGAAACAGATAGATACCTCTAAAATAATATCTAGATACAGATATTTTAATAAAAAATCTATCAAGATACAGATACCACATTTTTATATCTAGATACAGGATCTCGATACTTGTATATAGATACTTTAACAACTCTAAAGACCAAAACGCAAACGATCAATTTGATGAACTATTATACTCATTTATTAGCATTTCTATTTATGCAATTTAAAGATTAAATAAATTTTTAAATATCAAATTTAAAATATTTTTTAACCGTTTTTGTTTTATATGAACCCGGATTTTTTTAAAATATATTTATTTTTAATTTTTATAGCTAATAATGGCGATTTAAAATATTTGGTTTGCCCGTGTATTTAAAAAAAAATTCAGACCCGGTCCGGGCATATTTAAAAAAATTAAAATACGGCCCTGCAGGTCTCTGATATATATAAATTTTTGTAAAGATTGATTTGATGTTAGTTACTAAAATAAAGTTCTGATAAAATAAGAATACTTAAAATATAAAGACCATGTTTTCCAGTTAGTATAGAGTATCGATTTTTATGCTCAAATGTTCATGGCATAAAATGTCTACAATTTACAGGGTAGGTCAAACGCATGCAGAAATGTATTTCCAGTTAAATCAGAATTTTCAAATTTAAAATTGGTCCTCAGAAAAATTATTTAGAATCAAGAGATTCCGAATCCCCATGCGACATATAATAAAATAATTTTTCCAGAAACTTTTCGAAACCTGAAAGGGAACAGTTTTCCGCCGGAAGCGGATATTAAATAGGATAGACAAAATTGTTTTTGTTCCTGTTCCCAGAAACTCTTTTTTATTATTATTATTAAGTTTACAATATAAAACGTGCATAGCCATATTTTGTCTGTCAATACATATTATGATAATTAATATATATTATATTATAAAAATATTAATATATATACTTTATAATAATAATCCATCTCATACTCATATGTTAATATATAGGAACATAAAATCAAAATATGTAAAAAGGATTATTATATACAAAAAAAATAAAATATATAAAAGGATTTTAAAAAAGTTAGGATAGCTCCTTAGGAAGGAGGACTCCAATGAAAATGATGTAGATTTATGAATGGCAATGGAGAGTCTTTGCCTAGGGTAAAAACCTCACCTAAGTTCATCAGTGATTTTACGAATAAGAGAACCGATTTCCTTGAAGAAGGTTAAAACATGGCTATGTGGCTAATTTAGATGAGAATAGTTATAAAAATGTGTTCATTGGATATTTCCGAATATTTATATAATTTGGACAGCTCTTTGATGTCAAAGATGTTTGTGATAAGAATTGTAGTAACTAGGGGATCCATACAAGAATAGTCCCAAACT